ACTTAAAACCCTTAACTTTAAGTTAATTAATTATTCATATTATTATTATCATTATTGTTGTTCTTGTTTTGTTATTATTAATTGATTTTATTTTATTTGAATATTATCATTTTACTCTATAAACCAATTAATAAATAAAATAATCTTAAGACAATAAAAATATCAAATAACTATCCTTTTTACTATTTTTATTATTATTAATATTATTAACATTTTACTTTTTATAAAAGAAATATATATCTCATTTTCTATTAATATCCTACATAATATTATGTCATGAAATCAAGCTCCCATACCTTTGTCATAAATTATTTTCACAAAGTCATACTAGAACACCTAAAGCACTATTGATGAAAGATTAGTAAATATTTGATAGAGACATATTTACTAGCAAGAGTTGAAAAGTTGGAAGGTATGGGCAAAAGATGATAAATTATGTTATTTTAATATTTTACAACTAGTATAAATAGGGGTCTCTTCCACCCCATTTTCATTCATTCATTCACAAATCATCTTTCTTACTTCTTTACTTCTTTCCTTCTCTAATTTCTTCATATAGCAATATTAGTTTTAGTTATCGAAGTTCCCACGATATCGGTTCGTAACCTTTAGAGTATTTTGTGGTAAAAGTTCTTCTAAAGTTTCAAGGGAGTTTTATACGTCAAAGTTCTGCCCAAATCATTTTCATAAGTAATCGGTAAGCCGTTATAATGTCCATTTTATTTTAATTATATTATTTTAATTATGTTATTTATATAAAGGTTATTTTAAATTTTCTATGCAAATTCCGTTCAGACGTCGATATATTGAACTTATAAAGTCCAAAATAAATTTTACCATTTTAAGTCGTTATAATGCCCAAATTTTATTATAATTTAAATGTTATTAGAAATATACTCTTGACAATTTTCTAAAACAAACAAATTCAAAAGGAGGTATAATATAATTTATATTTGAATTTAATAATTATTTTGGAGGTTATTATGATATATTTAAATAAATAAATATTTCAAGTTATAACGGGATTATGTTCAATTAACCATAAATTATATTCTAATTATTTCATAAATTTCGTACAATCCAACGGTTATCGTAAATTAGGTTCTTGGCAAAGATCGAAGACAACACTTGTGGACTTTCAACAACACTCAACAAAAGGTGGGGGCAAGATTTCGTATACGATTGGGACGGTTAGCGTAAAATAACTTAATATATATGTGTGTAGTGGTGACCTAAGCCCTACTAGCGATAAATAATTAAGGAGAGCCTATTCTCAAATAATGATTTTCACAAATCACTAGGCGAGGTTACGCCGGCCTTAATTAATTATCATAGGAATAATCTTTGACAATTTGGTATTGTATTGTGCTTGCATTATTCGGTTAATTTTATAATTGTTTATTTTATTTATACTTGAATGATTGTGATTGATAGATTAAGGAAATAATCGGTTAATGAGAGAAAAACATTGCTAGATATTAAGTAATTGATCCCCATTAACATAAGGAAAGTTGGATACAATGAGTAGTTATATTTGGTTGGGTTCTGGCTAAGGAAAGACTTGGTCGACTATGCCGTTTACAGTCCACCTCTCTTACCTGGGAAGTTAACCATACAATTACCCATTATACAAACTGAACTTATTATGTAAGGACAAAGATCAAATATGGCAAGACATTGGATGGATTTGGTACTCAACCTAAGTATCTAGATAATAAGTATAACTTGAAAAGTTGATACGATAATTCCCCATTATTAACTTAATACTTATGGCTAAGAGTTGCCACAAGATGAGTGAGTGATCATATAGACTTGCATTAAGGAATGTGTAAGTCCACCGCCGTGCGGTATGGGACGCACGAGGTTGATCAGTCGCCTGCAATCCCGACGGGGATTATTATCTATGCATGCTAGGCAAGACAAGGTTCTTGGCCTGAATTCTCAGGGACGATCGACTTATAACACCTAGGCTCCATGTGAAGTTAGGTGGCGTAGCTCTTGGTAATTGGGAGTACGTTGGTGGCATGTGGTCTAGTGATATCTGATCTTGGTAAATGGGATAGATATCATTGACAGCGTTTAGTGGCCTGAGTCAGCATATAGTTCAGGGATGCATTAGAATAAATAAAGTATATGTAATTGTGGGTATAAGATACGCTTGTTTGTATAAATATGGTTTCCATATATATTATTATTTTACACATTCATTCCCACTTTTAAACTTGTACATGAATCTTAGCCCTGTGTCATTTTTGTTTTGCATTTTGGATTATTTTATGACGATCAGACGATGAGCTCGAATCTTGCGTACTTCCCGACAACTCAGAAGGAAAGGATATGAAGTGACGTGGAGATGTGTTACTATAACATCTAGATTGGGAGCTGTTAGTGTTTTGTCAAACGCTAATCACATCCCTACTACTACAGTCAGTATAAGTGTCAGTCTTGTTGGACTTAGGAGGTCCCTTTTGGTATGCTTTCTTTTTGGTTTCCTTTCTGTACTTTTATTTTATGTTTTATCTATGTGGCAAGGCCGCTAGTCTTAACGGTGTCAAACTCTGTAAAATATATTTGAAGCATATGTATGTGAAACAGTATGTTTTTAAATAATTAAGTATTGTCCTTTAAAAATTTCAAATTTTTCTGTATTTTTATAAGGTTTCATTAGAATTCCACTAATGGGACATAGGCTGTCTCAAGTCGTCATCTTCAGGGAGAACACTCAACTTAACCATCACAACTTGTAGGAGATGGTATTTGCGTCACATTGCAAGAAGGGCTCAAAACTCGGATATATCGACGAGTATGCCACATACCTCTCTCAAGCGGAAAAGATTCTACATCTCGCAAATTTATTATGGGGTAGGAGAATTATATCTCAATTGTCAAGATGACTCACGTCTAATTCTCTTGTGGGGAGAATAAGATGTTTAAATTGAATTGTATTAAGGTTTGTCTAAGTTGAAAGGTAAAGGAGAAAACGGTCCTTCTTAAGGTGTACGGACAAAAGCCTAAGCTGATCAACTTGAAAACAAGGATCAAGCGGGGGAACATTATGCAAATGAGATGCAATACACACGGCTTATGAACTCATGCGCAAGTTCTTCCCTTGGACATGCATACAAAAACAATAAGACAACACATGACAATAATAAGATTGATAACAAAAGTCAACTCAAGAAGATTAGATCACGAATCGAACAAGTTGAATTTAAATCCTGCAGTTTCACAAATGACCGAGGTTGTTAATAGTTCAAATTAAACTGGGGTTTTTTAGAAAAAAAATCGTTTAAATGTACCGGAAAAGATGGGAACGTCACGCTTAAATAAATTTCCCGCGCAATTAATGAAGGGTCATAGAAACAAAATTGAAATGAGACGTCATTTTAGCTTTTAGCAAAAGTTTTATCAAAGTTATAAATTAAAATTAGATTTTGCTAGGTAAATAAGTAGAATTTTAAAATAAATAATTGATTTATTAGATGAATAAATAAGCTTATATTAAGTGTATAAATTGATTTTTTTATAATTAAATACATAGTTTATTAAATAAATAAATGTTGACTAAATAAATAATTAATTAGTTAAGTAAAAATAGTTATTAATTGAATAAATAGGTGATTAGTCAAATAAATAAAAATAGGTTAATTAATTAAATCAAAGTTAATTAGCCAAATAAATGGTTAATTAGATAAATTGGTTAATTATTAAGTTAAATTAATTAATTAAGTGACCAGATGGTAATCTGGTGTGGCATGTCACGAGGGCCTACCGTGGGGAGTGACTGTGCACCGCAGATTATTAATCAAGTAAGGAACGGGTGGTCACGGGGCGAGGGTTCACCATAACATGTATGGGCATGCATACACACAATACAAGATATTAAAAAAATAACATAACCAGAAAACCCTAAATAAAAACTCTCTTCTTCTCCGCCGTTTCAAACTCTCTTCAACTTCTCTTCTCCTCTCATCATTTCCCTTTCATTCTTCTTCCTCTTGCTCTTCCATATGCTTTCTTCTTCTCCCAAACTCCATTCGTCCTTCTTCTATTCTCCTTCCTCAACCATTCTTCTTCTCGTTCTCACCATCACCCATGAAATAGTGGTAGGATTTCATGAAATACCAAACAAAACAAAAACAAAACAGTAACAACAAACAAAATTAAAACGAATCGACAACTAAAAAATCAGATGAGTCGAAAGGAGAGCGAAATTATCAACTCTAAAGGGGTATCCGAATGGAGGACGACGGTGATTGGGTTATTGAATGATTACACAGCGGCGCCGATACCCGAGGAGACGTCGTCAGATTTGAGGTTAAGTTCCTTTTTCTTTTCTTTCATATCTTCTTCTGCTCTCTTTCTTTTTCTATGGTTTTTGTGTTCACTAGTGTAAAAATACTTTCTTAGCAGAGTTTTTTAAGTCAGTTGATCAATAACCCGACTTAAGAAGTCACACGGTGGCAAATCTGTAAATATTTGAAACTTTGTTATGTCGTGTCTATGTTTAACCGACCTAACAAAGATTAAATAAAAAAATGTAATTTACATTAAATTCCTTAAGTCGGTTCTTTTACCAAAATGACTTAAGAAGTTTATTTATTAAGTCACGTGTTTATTACCTGACCTAAGAGGTTCTTACAAGGCCCCAGTTCGATTCCTACTTAATACATTTTAGTGAAATAAAACAATTATAATATAATACATTTTGTTGCAAATTTTTTTGAAAAATATTTATAAAATTAAAATGATATTTATAATCTCAATATCCTCATTCACGTTTTTCCTTTTCCCATCCCTCATTCACGTCTTCTCTTTTTCCAAATTTAAACCTCAATATCCTTAATCTCATGTTTGTTCCTTGTCCTTTAGATTTCTATAAAAGCTTCATCACCATTTTCATTTTCATTGCGTCTTCTCTCCTTCCTCAATCCCTTTTCTCTATTAAAGCCAACCCCTAAAAGTTGTTGAACCACACTGTATCTTCTTTCCGGTTCAATATGGGGGCTTCGATTCATGCTTTCATATTACGATCGGGTTTTGATTCTAATGTATTTGTTTGTAATGAGGTTGTTTCGATGTATGATAAATGTAATGTGCTTGTTCACGCGCGTAAGGTGTTTGAAGAATTGTGTCATAGAGGAACTTGTGATTTGGTGTCGTGGAATTCGATTGTGTCAGCTTATTCACATTGTTTTGTTTTGAAAGTTGCAGTTTCGCTTTTTCGTGAAATGACAGTGAGTTATGGGTTGATATCGGATGTCGTTGGTGTTGTTAATATACTTCCTGTTTGTGGTTTTCTTGGTTTGGGGTTACTTGGGAAACAGGTTCATGCGGGGAAGGCCAGGTGATTCATGGATCAAATTCTGAGTATAACTTTATTTTATGATGGCTACCCGAAGATTTCATCTTTTGACATTATTTATTTACTATTTTATGTTTTCAGAGTCGAACAGATCGAATTGTTTTCAAACTTTTTGGCAAGGATCCTAATGATTTCCCTGTTGTTCTTCGATCACAGGTATTCTTCCCCTACCTTTTAATTGGTATAAACCATAATTTCACTGAACTTTTTTCTCTATATGTTATTTGATTAAATATTTCTTTACCAGATCCTTAGTTGGTTATCCCACAGAGATAGAGAGCTATATAAGGCCAGGGTGTATTATTTTAACTATATGTCTCCGCCTAGAAAATTCGGCATGGGATGAGGTATAATTTGATATAGTTCTGTATATAAATGGCCTAATGGAACCATCAAACATATAAATCAGAATGAGCTTATTACTTTTTCATAATGAAGTTATGCTATAATCTCGGATCTAGATTGAGAAAGCTTCTAGCTGCATCGAATAATTCACTTTGGAGGATAGGGTTGATATAAGCAAGAGTACGGAACTCTGTAGCTATTCTGTATAATGGTTTGTTCCCTCTTACTGTTTGTGTGGCATCCATTCTTCTCATGTGATTGTATTTCAGTTATCATTATAATTTTCGACTATGTTACTTGGATTAAAATTTATATCTTGTTTATCTCGTGCAGGTCAGGTGGCCTTGGATGCGCCGTTGCGTCTTGGAAGCCTAGAAAGTTGTTAGATTTTGTGCGTGAAGCCCCTTGTTGTTTCTGCGAGTGCAGACGTTAAATTTTCTGTGAAAGGGTTAAACCTTTTCCTGTCTAGTACAAGGTAGTTTCCAAACACCTTATTCGTTTAAGATTTGAGAGGCAAAAAGCTAAACCTTTCCCTCTTGATTTTAGATTACTCTGCGCACTCGAAGGAAAGTATCCGGTAGAGGATAATTGTTATGATTTGACTGATGGTGCCGAAGCAGCCTCTGGACATCATGAGCTTCAGAATCTCAGCTTCTCTCGTCATATACCAAATATGACTGGAAGAGGGTTTATTGAGGTAACTTACAATATTTATATACTTTCATTTTCTGTGATATTCTTTTAACCAAATAAAATCTGCTTAAATTTTACAAAGTGATTGTTACTAGTTTTGGAAGTTATATCTTTCTCTCTGATTTGTTAATCTTTACTCAGGTCGAAGATAATAGTCTCAGTAGCTATTCCTTTCCATTCTTAGTCGCAGAGCCTGAAATTTGTTCGGAGATATGTAATCTGGAAACTATCATTGAAGCAGCAGAGATTGCTGATGACATCCAGATAAAGGCTAAATTAATGGAAGAAAAGACTCGAGCAATGAATTTCGTACATGAAATGGGTTGTCTCCTTCATAGAGTTTAGGTGAAATTTAGGCTAGGGCCAGCGGCACCTGTTCAAGGTCGCTTTCACTTTAACCGGTATACATGGCTTGTTGGCTTCTCTATAGATCATGATTGGTGTGCTGTGATGAAAAAAATCTTGGACATTATCTTTGAAGGTGAAGTTGATATTGAAGAACATACCTCTGCCGAGCTTGCGTTGTTAAACATGGTGTGAAATTTTTATCCATTTATTTTCTTATGTCTGGAAAGAAGCATTTGATTCTTGATTTTGATAGTTTTTTCCTACATAGTAGAGAATATTAGGTTGTACTGCATATTTATCTGTGACAGTTGCAGATTTTGTGAATTATATTTTGATTTAGCTTTATTGTTGCAAACTGATGGAGAAAGGTAGCTAGAGTGATTCTGGTTTCATCCACTTTTACGGTTTCTATCAACAAATATTATCACTTGTTGATGATAAAAACATGTTTGTTTTATATGAATATTTTTCAAGTTTTTAGTCTCTTTTAACAATTCAACAGGAATGCCATAATCCAAATATAAACTTCTATTCTTACATATTGACCTGAAAACTTAGTGTATATGTTGAACTTAATGCTATGCAGCACGAACACGACATTGAACCGACACCGACATTGACTTTGAAAAATGAATTAATTAAACATAACTACAAGTGTCGGGTCGGTATGGGTCGGTGCTACAAAGTTGCTTATTGCATACTGTTACAGAATTATATTGTTCAATACTTTTTCTAACGAAACAGATTAAGTGTTGCATTTGTTTCTTTTGAGTATCTATTATGATGTTCAATTGTTGTTGTTTCAACTTTTTTTAATGCTAATTTTCTTGTTTTTTTTCTTATCATACAGGTTTATCTGAGACCCTACAAGTTTCTTTACTGCACATTTCAATGCAGAAAAGTGCAGGAGGTATTACACGTCACTTGCTTGGAGGTTTATGCTGTTATCTAAGAAGATGCATATTTTCCGTTTTATCGGTCGGTCCTTTGTCGAGTCATATTTCTTTCATCATGGATGGGAATCGAAGGTATGCAAAGAGGAGAAACTTGACAGAAGGTGATGGACATAAGGCTGGATTTTCAGCTCTCATGTCCATCCTTAGATACTGTTATGAATTGGGTATTAAGTATGTAAGTGTCTATGCATTCAGCATTGATAATTTAAAAAGGAAGCCTGAAGAGGTTCAAACATTCATGGAATTGATGCGAGAATAGATCGAGGAGTTTCTTCAATAGGAAAGCATTATTAATGAATACGGTGTTAGATTACATTTCATTGGAAACATGCAGTTAGTGACAGAACGTGTCAGGGTTGCTGCAGAAAAGGCGATGAGAGTTACCGCCCACAACCAAGAGAGGGTTCTTTTAATTTGTGTTGCATATACATCGCGGGATGAAATCGTGCATGCTGTTCAAGAATCCTGCAAGGATAAATGGAATGAAGTTCAAGCATCCAAGGAAGATAAAGTTTCCAAAGGTGAGTTTACAAGAATTATTCAGGGCCCAAAAAGTAATGGTATCGATTTTCAATTTCATGATTCATGTAAAGAAAATGAAACAAAAGCTTGTAGAAGTATACATGAAGGAGTGGAAGGCGCGGAAGAGAAAGATTACTTATTTGAGCAAAATTTAGAAAAATGTAGTGATAATTACAGTGAAGATGAAATCACACCTTGCAATGAAGAGAGAAACTATGCAACCTGATTAGGACATGTTCCATGTAAGTGAAACTGAATTGATCTTCAACTGTAATTCAGTTAGTACCTTCTTTTTTAGGTGTTGATTTTTCTTCATTCTAACAAATATCTTTGTGATTTCAGAGTTTACATCCAGCAGCTGAGTATCATACTGCAGCTCGTGCAATCAGTGGATGTCCAATTTATGTTAGGTACAGCAATATTATTATCCCATTGCAAACTTGTTACTTTTACAAATACTTGAATTGCACATAGAATTAACATGCATATGTTTGTTTGTGTATTAGAATTATTAATATACGTAATTGTGTTTATAAGTTGCTGGTTTATTTTATTTGATAATTAGGGGTTTTACTGTGATTTGTGTTGTGTGATTTTTTTGTGTGTGTAGTTTGTTGATTGAGTTGGATAGTCTGATTTAGGGGTAAATTGTTAAATAGGAAAGCTGCATCTGATTTGTGTGATTATCCAAAAAAAACAACAACTTCTTAGGTCGGTTAGTTAGATCCGATTTAAGAAAGTAAGTTCTTAGGTCGGGTATAAATGGCCTGAGAGGTTTCTTCAGGCTAGACTTATTAAGTCGGGTTCTGTCTAACCGACCTAATAATAGTTTGTTAAGTCAGGTCCACAACTGACTTAAGAAGTCAAAACTTCTTATGCCGGTAAGTCTTAGATCGGGCTCGGACCCGACTTAAAAAGTCATTTTTAACCGACTTAAAAAGCCTTTTTTCAACTAGTGGTTGTCTCCTTTTTTGATGTTGGTTTACCCATTTTATAGCTTTTACAGGTTCTTCTTCGAATAAAATCAAGATCTTCATTAAAAATATTACCAAATTCGTACGAACATGTCTTATCCGGTTTTAGAAACTAATTGAATTCAATTGATTTTGCAGGAACAATGTGAATGGTATCTTGACCTTCCTTTTTGGTGAATTGAGCCCCGTTTGGAAGATAAGTTTCTCTTCTCAGTTTTACCCTTAAAGAAAATTGAATATCGGTTTCGTTGAAAATTATTCTTGCTTTTCAATTTAGATTTCGTGTTTGAGCTTGTCTGAAACGTGTTTGCGAATGTTTTGATTGCTTTCCTTTTTCGACATGCCAATTACCTCTCTTTCAAATTGAACGCTTGGGTCTTGTATGTTTAACATTAACATGGTGATAAAACTTTCCAATTTCAGACTAATATGTTTGATCGTGTTTTGTCCATGTTTTGGAAAGCGCTTGGGTGTAGTTAATATCTCTTGAATTGTTCTGCTATATGTTCTTGCCTTTTCCAGATTTTTATTATATTTCAAAAAAAAACTTAAATCCTTTCTTGATTTTCTTAAGGTGAATTGATGGTGCTTGCTTGTCTCTAATTGGAAAAATAAAAGTGTCTAAAAAACATAAATGGTGATATTAAATTTGTCTACTATGTTTAGAAACATGTTGGATTTTGTTTTGGAATTCTAGTTTCTCTTGAATGCTAACTTATTACTGTGTTTGTTGGTTTGGTTTTTTGTGTGCAGCGGTTGAATGCTAGAGAAGCGGTTGAGTGCTAGAGAACGCGAGGATTTGGAAAATTCTAGTGAGTTGTGTGTGGTACTGGTATAGCAGGCCTTCATGGGGACAACCAATGGCAAGCTAAATTCAAGTGCTATCAAGGAATCGCGTCGCTTTGGGCTATATAGGACCTTTACAACTAATGAGATTTGGTTCAAAATCCTCTATATTAATCCTTTGTTTTCAAATGCCTAAAATGGATTATTACCTTGTAACTCCTCGACTTGAAATGAATTGTATTATTGACTTAAGAATAATTTTGAACATTCTTTGATATTTGGAAACATAAACTTGTAATCTTGAGACTTTTGGAATTAATTCAAGCTTAACTATCAACCTTGAATTTTGGAGTTCAAACTTGATGCAGATTACCTACACTTCTCGCGATGCCACAAGCCAAATTTGGAAGTATAAACATCATCCTTTGACTTTAAACGTCCTTGGAAGCATAGTGAATTAATTTGATCTTTGTAAAGAGCGTGATGATGAATTCCATTTCAAAACTTCTTACTAAATGTGATAACCCAACTTCCTGAACAAAATTAGCCCTGATTGACATGTATTTCTTGATCTTGAATTATAAACTTGAACTTGACATGTCTAACCTGGAAGTTTGACGATTTCCTAGACTTGTAAATTTAAACACTTGATTCTGAATTTGAAGATGCGAATTGTAAACCAAAATGAACTTGTGAGTTGACAAATATATGGTTGATCAAGGAGAACTCAGTGATTAAATTTGAAGATCTTGAGGTAATTCTTTGCCACTGGTGAGTTGATTTACGACTTGAAAAGGAATCTCGTAAGGAGTTTTGAACGAATACACCTTGAATTTGTAAATTCCCAAAATTCGAGTATTTGAACCAAAATGAAGATTTGGATTTGAGCTCTAAT